GGTCGTGGCCCAACTATGGGGAAGGTTTTTTTTTTTTTTTTTNACACACACACACACACACACACACACACACACACACACACACACACACACACTCACTCACTCACTCACTCAGAATCAATCAATCAATCGATCAATCAATCACTCAATCAATCAATCAAAACCCTTTTTTTGAGTTTTTTGTTTATTTATTTTTAAATTTCGCATCTTTGTTTTTTTTAAAACACCTTATTTCCCTTCAAAAAAAAACAAATCCAATTCTAAAATAACTACAGGGTACTCAGTGACCATATATCTCATGATAAAAAATGTCAAAAAAAAAATCCAGCTTTTCTTTATATATATTTTTCTAATTATGTTTAAATCGATTTTTGTTTCTGATTTTTTAAAAATCCTGAACAACGTCGGATTCCAAAACAAAAAATATAGGGGTGTAGGGTTTTCGAAGCCCTACACCCCCATTCTTGTTTTTGTTTTTTTTGAGTATTTTTAGGGGGGGGGGGAAATATTTAAAAAAACAGGCCGCGGACCGGGCCTTGTTGGCCGCGGCCGCGGCCAGGATTTTCGGCCGCAGCGACCGAAATGCCCGCAGCCACGACTGCGGGTGTCACATAGGGCCCAACCAATCTCGGGTGTGGCCAATCTGGGGCTTGGTGGGTTGTGGCCCAACCAATCTCGGGTGTGGCCAATCTGGGGCGTGGTGCGGTGCGTGACCGGAAAAAAAAAAAAAAAAAAAAAAAAAGGAGAAAGAAACGGCCATGTGCCTGACTGAACTGCTAGAAAAAGCCAGCCCGAGTTTCAAACTGCTAAAATGCAATTTCAAATGCAATTGAAACTTGGACCCTGACTAAACTACTAAAACGCAGTTTCAAATGCAATAACAAACTGTAACCCTGACTGCGCCGTAGGTTTCTCAAAAAACAAAAGGGGAATCGACCCAGTCTGGGACCCAAATCGCCCGCCCACACCCATATCGCCCGCCACTAGTTTGCAACGGGAAAAAACTCTACCCCTCAAAAGGGAAACAATGGACGGCGCCCTATACTAAATTGCAATGACCTTGACAAGCTAACCTGCCCTATGACCGGTCTTAGGGACGACTGCGACCGGACCCTATTTTCTGCTGTCGGAGACCCCAAACGAACCCGTCCTAGCGAAGTTGTATTGCACGACCTTACCGAAAATAGAAAGAAATGAAACGACGAAAATGAAACCCATACAAGCGCAGCCTCGTGGCTGCGAACAAAAAAGCAAACCTGTTCCCCACATAGTGGCCAGATACATTCGTCAAAGGCCTTTGCAACTTAGACCCCCCCGTGAGGGCCTTCCCCAACATCCCTGGATTTGAAATTTTCGTTTTTTTTCTTATTTTTTCTTCTCTTTTTTTTCTTTTTTATTTTGTCGGCCTCCAACCTTGCCCCAAGCCCCGTGTTTTAAGGAGTAGGCTACTAGATGGACTTTGCATTTGCCTGTGAAGGTAGTGGTGGTTTAAAGGCTCCTTGGTCTAATGTAGAGAATCCCTGGGGCTCGGACCGACTAGAACCGATTTACGCCTGTGCTCTTTGGTTTTCGACCACGTGTGGCCGTCCATGACAAACTTCAATCGTTGATCGTTTTCCCAACTTTTTCGTAACGACTGCTAGTGTCGATTGTCTTCCTTTTCGTGGAGGTAGCTGTCCATCAGCCAGTTGAAAATTTTTAAATTTATTTGTAGACCATTTAGTTGACCACTTTACGTTTGCAGGAAGCTTCAGTTCTATGGTTTTTCTAGGGGGGGGTGTTTTTGAAGTTTCGCGCCGTGATTTTTTTATGTGCAGAAATAGAGAATATTGAGATTTTCGTGTGCACTAACAGTTAAACGCGTCGTGGCAGACGGTGTCATTGTAGGCCAGTTGGTTTCCTTGCCTTTTCTCCGGCGCTAAGGCTTGAGAATGAGGGATACACAGGCTGTATTGTCATGATGTCGATGTCAGACTTATTTTTTATTTTTATTTTTTTGTCCTTTTTTTTTTTAGCTTCATCTATTGGTGGGGAGCTGCACCTGCTTGAAACCGGGTCCAACGTCCCTTGAGTACATGAATGATATGAATGATTTGAATGATATGAATGATATGAATGATATGAATGATATGAATAACCACAAAGTTGGGCAGAGATGTGCCTCTTCACTCCATTGGGGTGCAAAATCAAACCAACATCAGCCTAGCACTATTCTCTTCTTATCAACCAAACAGCGATTTCGTCAAAACGGATATTTTATATTTTTTTAACGAAATTGAAATTGTTATTTTCATGCTGATTTTGGTGATTTTTTACATTTTGAGCACACCATTTTGGGTAGGTGCCGCGCATTTGTTTATAGTTTGTGCTCATATTAACCACAAGTTTTACATTGCTTTCTCACACATTTTGGGGGGTGTTACAATTTCATTCGCATTATGTGATGCTAGATGGGTCTTTATGATGGGTTTTATTGTACTCTTCTATCATATCAATGAACATTTACTATGTTTCGTAAAATAATATCAGTTGTTTTTCGTTTTTTATTGACAAATGCATTAAGACAAGATAAATATATTGAATATCATACTGAAAAATACATATGGCATGTCCAGTCAATGACAAAAAAAATTCATGGACATCTAAAAAAGTTCGAGACATTTTGTTCCATCCTAGAATTACGAACAAAGTTATGTGAAAAATTTTTGAAATCCATATAAAAAAAAAATTTGGCTTCTTTAGACAAATACAAAGAAACATTGATGCGGAGTTTGGCTCATGTGACATATGATACATGTGCGCTGAAATATATGTACATAGAGAGACTTCATGTCTCTCTCTCTATCTATCTATCTATCTATCTATCTATCTATCTATCTATCTTTCTATCTATTTATCTATCTATCTATCTATCTATCTATCTATTTATCTATCTATCTATCTTTCTCTCAATCTTTGACTAGGATAATGTCTATGAAAGTTGTTGCCCTATACTTCATACACTCCTCTACACTACGAATATGTGCAGTCGTACATGATTGTACAAAAGGTGGAAATTCGCTTCGACATCATTTTCAAAAAACTAAAATCCGGCACATGACCGCACGTAAAACAATATGAGCACTCGTACAAGCGCATGATCTACTCTATTGCCATCTCCGTTTACATGTGCTAAGGCACAAAATGTCTAGAAGTGCTACAGCAGCGCAAGTGAACCAGGTCGTTGCTCAGACCGTTGGCTCGGCGGAGTACACTCTTCGTAATGTTGAAGTTGGTGGTTAACTTGATTTTTTTTAATTTGCGGTTGACCCCCGTTATTTCTTCATTCTCTACGATGACTGTGGAGATAGAAGCAGTGATTGCAGTCCTTCGAGCAACGAATTCCAACATTGCATCCCGTGTGTGAATACAATATTGTTTAACGTGCTGCTTGTACGCTCGCACCATCGAGTCTCCTGCATCACTCTGCGGGATCTTTCGTCTCCATGTCTTCGTTGCACATATTGTAAGCCCTTCGTGATATTGCACAGCAACACATGCAATGGTAGCGCTGCATTTCTCTGTCACCGGGGCAGTCACAAGGCCGTAACCGTAGAAGACCTCCTTGTATCTTGCGTTCCCGTCGTTCTTGTAATTATTATTATTCTGACAGTCACACACCCCCACGAGGTTATAAATCTTTCTTCTTGCGCTTCGAGGATACAAGTGCAGTGACGGTTCGTAATATGCAAAATCCTACGTGACAAGTCCGATGGCGTTACGTTGTCTCCTCAGCCGGTCTGATATCAGTTCCCTCCATTTGATTGGTGTTCCCCACCAATCTTGTCTTAACTGCCTCTGCATCCATTTCAGGTCCATACTGCATGAGAAAAAAAAAAAAAAAAACGGGAGAAAACAAAAACATAGGCATCTCTAACACAAACGAAGTACGGAACTGTGACTGTGAGTTCACGAGTCATTGTGGAACGCCCGACCCCCGCTCAACGACAGCAGGGCATCCGTGGGTCCGACGTTTTCAGAACGCCCGACCCCCACCCTCTTAGCACCGCGGGGGTCCGGCGTTCTGAAAACGCCCTACCTCCGCCCTCTTAGCACCGCAGGGGTCCTGCGTCCCGAGAACGCCCGACCCCCGACCTTCGTTTTTCGATAGGGGGACAGGGGGTTCCCAAAATGCCGGACCCCCCTTTCAGATGCGAGGGCCTCGTGTTGCGCGTTCCATGAACGCCCGACCCCCTTTCGGAAACAACGGTCGGGGGTCGGGCGTTCTGGGAACGCCGGACCCCTTCCGGAAACGACGGTCGGGGGTCGGGCGTTCTAGGAACGCCGGACCCCCCTTCCCGAGACGTCGGGGGTCGGGAGTTATGAGAACGCCGGATCCCCTTTCGGAAACGAGGGTCGGGGTGTCCGTCATTGGAGGGAACGCCGGAAGCCTTTTGGGAAATGACGGTCGGGGGTCGGGCGTTCTCGGAACGCCGGACCCCGTTTCGGATACCTCGGGGGTTGGGCGTTCTGGGAACGCCGGGCCCCCTTTCAGACACATGAGAAGGCTGCCAGGCGTCTAGGGAACATCGGGCCCCTTTTCTGAAACGACAGACGGGGGTCGGGCGTCTAGGGAGCGCCGGACCCCCTTTCGGATACGTCTGGGGTCGGGCGTTTTGGGAACGTCGGACCCCCTTTCGGATACGTCTGGGGTCGGGCGTTCTGGGAACGCCGGACCCACTTTCGAATACGTCGGGGGTCGGGCGTTCTGGGAACGCCGGACCCCCTTTCAGAAACGAGGGTTGGGGTGTCTGTCGTCTAGGGAACGCCGGACACCTTTTGTGAAACGACGGTCGGGGGTCAGGCGTTCTGGGTACACCGGACCTCCTTCCAGAAACGACGGTGGGGAGACGAGGGTCTGGGAATCGGCCGTTTTCGATATGCCGGACCCCCTCGGTGCACGGAGGGTGGGAGTTCGGGCGTTTCAGAACATCCGACCCCCGCGGTTGTGGAGATGGGGGCCTGCCATTTGGAGAAGGGCGGATACGCGATTTTTGACGACGCGAGGGGGGGCCGTCGGCTCCTCGCGCGAATTGCTTTTGTTTGTTCCTCATGTTTTCTTTGCTTCAAGTTGTGCGTTTCCTTTGTTTGTGCCCTCTAGGTCAACCTGCTGCTTCGACCTCTCGGGCATACGGCAGGTCAAAGATCTACAACAACAAACCATTGGCTCTGGACTGGGATGGTGGTCTGCATAAGCTTGGATGTGGGGCCGTTGTCTTTTTGAGCGACGACAATGGTGCGACATGGTACTGTTGTGGGGGTGTTGAGAAATCTGAGAGCGCCAAGAACACCTACGACGGGAGGCCGTTCAGGACCTTCTTTCTTACGTCAGTTTTCGACAAGGACGGGAAAAATTGGGTCAAGGAAGACAAGAAGGTCGGCCTTGACTTGCGGCTCTTTCAAGGCTATGGCGTCAAGGCTTTCTCCATGAAAGCGTTTGACGCGCGCGGGGACGGCGCCGAGCTTCGCATGCTCACTACGGAACAATTCCTCAGTAGAACGAATGGCTACCGCATCACTGGCTGCCTTCCTGTCGTCGACAGTTCCTTGGAGCTCACCAAGCCGTTGGTGAAATTCAGCAGCCCGGCGGACCAACTTCCAGGTGTTGTTAAGGAGTACAGGGAAGCCTTCTTGAGGCTGCCTCTGGACCAGCAAGCTGACTGCGCTTTTGTGCCCTTTGTCACGAGCTCGAGGAGATCGCGATATACGCCATCCGCACCGGTTGGGAAGAGGAAACAGTTGGCTGCTTGTCTAGCTCCGCCTTTGCCAGGCGCGTCGCCCTCGCCCTTGCCCACGGTGAGGGGAGGTCACGATCTCGCTCAATGTTCCAGTGAGGCTACGGAGTACGATGACAGACTTTTGTACGGACGCAATGTTGCGCGCGACAGTGTCCAGGAAGGTGCGACTGCCCTGATTGAGCAAAACAAGGATGAAGAAGATGGGGGAAGTTGCGGTTCACGTGAAGACGGCGGTGATTACGAGTACATGGACGTTGGGGATGAGAACATGCAGGACCAGAACATGCTTGGCGATGACGACGTCGGTATCACGTCGGAGCATGGCCCTTGCGATATCCCCGCCGGTTCTGTGGGGCCGGCTGTTGGCCGGCACTTGTCGTCCCCTGCGATATGCCATTCGCAAGGCGAGAGTCAGGGTGGGCATGACTCGCAGGAGCACGGAGGATCGAAGTCGAGGAAAACGACAAGAGAAACTTTTCCTTCTGCTTCCGCTCACAAGAGACAATCGAGGACTGACGCAGTAAATGAGGCTCGTGGAGCTCTGATAGCATCCCAGGAGGCGAGACCTCCACGGAAGAGCAGCCAGGGGGGAAGATCTGGCGGTCGTGGCAGCGGCCGTGGTGGGGCAAGAAAAGGTAAGCAGATAGTGAGGGCAGAAGAACTGCGGGACTCGGGAGATGAGGGCGAGGGAGTGGGCCCTCGCATGCCCGACGATGGTGATGAACCGCTTCAGCACGCTGCACCCATCGACACGACGCGTTGTTTCTTCCTCGAGTATGACGAGCGGGGTTTTGCTAAGCAAAAAGTCCTCCCTGTTCTTGTGGACATCATGAAAATCAAACGCATTCCCCGCGGGAATATTCTTTTCAACCATCGCTCTTTGTCTGCGAATATTGTGCGAGGCATCGAGAATGCCATCGAGAGTTCCATCACCACGGAACCGGGGGCGTGGGATAGGCCTGAGCTCGTGCTTGCGCCGGTTGACCGCAACGAAATCGTCGGCGGGAAGGGAAGGCGGATAACACCGACCGAATTCTTCGAAAGAGACTCCTCGGAGTTCGATTGGTATACTGTCTGCGGTCAGCATACGGTCGAGGCGATGAAGACATTCGTAAAAAAAGGTTCTCCGGCAGTCGATGTCTATGGCCTTCGCGCGTACTCTAAGGTGCGGGTCGTCTATTTTGGAGATGACCAAACGCAAGGGCATTTCAATGTCTCCGCCTTCAACAACACGCGCGAAAATAGGGCCATGATGTTGTCGTTCGAGGATGCTCTCCGTGATATGAGGCAATGGTGGATCGATAACCACCGAAGCGAGGCCCTGAAAGGCAAGGTCAGCGATAAGGATGCAGTCGCCGTTGCGCACCAAAAGAAGTGGCAAAATTTCTTAAGGGCCTCCATGGGGAAGGCATGCGACAAGGCGTTCGTAAAGCAAGCGCTCGAGAATGAGTACAGTAAGGATTGGAGCAATAAACTCCGTGGCTACATGAACCTCGCCACATTCACCGAGGTTGTATGGCCACTGGTCGAGAAGTTCTTCGACATGTTCAACGAGGGGAAGCTGCCAGTTGGCGATGGTAAAATACCGCTTGACATGCCGGGTAGGATGGAGGGGCGCCAGCCAGGCCCGTACACCGACGAGACGAAGGGGCAAAGGACATTATACCATTGCATTTACGCGAGAGATGGTCCCAAAGGCTCCATCGTGTCGTGGAAGGATCTCTGTCCTTCCTACTTCAAAAATTTTGGGGATTTGACGTGCCGCGAGAGGGAAGTTGCACTGCTCCTACTCATGAAAGGGAAGGTGGTCGCGACGAACGTCAAGGTCATGCCTCCGAGAGTGAATACGGAGTGCCTCCTTGACATCATGCGCAAGGAACGCTACATGGTCCGTATGTTCAACTACGTTGTTTTCCGCGCCGAGGGAAGGGCGGACGATGAATGGAATGATGCCTTCTTCATGTCATACAAGGACCTTGAAGACAGGTATGGGCCGAACGGTCTATGTGCAGCTGAATGGGAGAAGGAACGGGACAAGCTGCATGTCAGCAAAGTGAAGACGGTCCCTCGACGACTTGGAGGGGTGGAGGAGGCAAGGCAAGGATCAGGCTTGGGCCCTACAGCGGCAATGTATAAGGAGGCTCCGTTCCACTTTAAGGTGTTTGTATACACCTCAATCGATAAGCTCGATCTGCTTCGAGCGAAGGTCAAACGGGTCGCCTCCAGCGCACGTCATATCGTGTGGGATAAACTTAAAAAACAAACAACATTGTTGCCGGTGTGCATGTCATTGAAGGAAGTGCTGGCTGCGCCGGACGACATCGTCACTGCGGCGCAAAAAGTGACTTGCAGGGCCGTCATCCTTGACATCTCCCCCGCTAACTTCTGCGCGACATGGACCTCTTAAGAGTTCGACGCTCTGCACTCTATGATGACTAAGTGTTGTGGCGTTAATTGGGTTCTTTTTGTCTTCGCACCGCAGAAGGTGCAAAGTGATGTTCTGCGTTGCTTATTCCGGTGGGAGGACAACGAACTCATCCTCGGGACCTGGAAACGGGATGACAGGCCATCGAATGACATCACGAGGTATGGCAATATCGCTACGGCGGGTCGAGACATGATGGTCATTGTCTTGCACGCGGAGGGAGGGGATCTCAGAAAGGTCACGGTCGCACCCCACCTTGTTAATGACCTCACAAACGTGAATGTCGTGGAGGAGAAGTTCGGGAAGTGTCTGGGGAAACACGGTGGCATAGATGGCGATGAAAGTGTGGTGTATTCCATCTGGGAGCGAGAGCTTGGCAAGTTGCGTTCCTTGTGCGGGTCATTCGTCGGGGAGGCGGAAGGTGTGCTTTTATTGGGTAGGGCGCACGCGGGTCTTGTGTGGGAATTCTTACTGGCAGGGAATAATGTCATTGCCTGTGACGAGTCGGCAAAGGACATTGCATACTTGACAAAGTTCATCGATATACTTGTCAAGGACGACAGATTCAAGTGCCACGTCGAGAAACCGCGTTGCAAACATCGCCCGAACTGGGACATGTTCCACAAGTTGGGGCCTAAGAGACTGAAGATGTGGGAGTACCTGTTCCGCGATATGCCACAAGGACAGCTTGACGGAAAATATATGTACAGGAAAGCAAAGGCAACAGAGACCCTCAAACATTATCACGGTGCTCTCACTGGCGTCTTTGAGACTTTTGTTGCTCGATGCGAGATCCTCAAGTTCGATCGTCGCAAAGACAAATTGACATCCAAGGACTACGCGGAGCTCGCGAAATCGGGCGATGGCTTTAACCCCGTCGACAGTGAGGAAGATTCTTCAGACTCCGACCTCGAACTGGGCGAGGACACATGTGGTGGAATGGTGCAAGCCCACGATGACGGAACTGTCCATTCGCACGGAGGGTCCATCCCGGTGGCCGCCCCAAGCGTCGCCTCAATGGTGGCCCCGTCAGAGACTGCTGCATTGCAAGACGTTGGAAGATGCGGTGGCAATGAAGAAGACGACATTGAGATACCAGGCGAGGCGTCGACACTCGCACCAGGCGATGCAATTCCTCCAGGCTACTGTGCTGACCCAGACACGATATATTTCCTGGAGGGCAAACACACCCACACAGGCGAGGATCAGTGGGGCCATGACATCATATGGCATGAGGGCGTTTTACAGCCGTGCATCCAAGATGGGGAGTGGAAGATGGCGGTGAAATACACAAGCGGTTGAAAGACTTTTCGCCGGATGTCAAAGGACATCTGGTTGAAAACGACGGAACTCGCGATCCTGCATCGCGTGCGCGTCGAGAATCCAGGGCAGAGCGAGGCCGCCATCAAAGCCAAGGCCGAAGAATTGTTTCATGTCTTGCGCGACAATCGGCAACTGGAGTACAGCAACAAATTTTATGCCCTGCCCTCGAGTCCCTCATGCGGGTTAATCAACTGGAAGGTTGATCAAACCGCCAGAACCTTGGAGGGGAGCTGCTCTCATGATTTCATGCCTTCGGCTGAGCCGGCCTCTGTGGCCGCGCAAGCAGGGCACAGGGGAGATGACGGGGCTACTGTTGTCGGGCCTCAAGAGGTTGACATCACGTATAAGCCGCAAATATCGAAAAAATTCATCTCGGTCGCCGCGACACAATCGTCCTCACCCATCGATGTGTCAACGATGTTGCCGCCAGATGCAGGTGCCACGTACGGGAGTTTATTGATAACAAATGCTGCAATGCAAGGCAGATCCGAGATCGAGTCAGAGTCTTATGTTGGGCCGAGCGTGGCAGAGAGTCCATCTTTATGCACTGGCAAAGGTGATGCACAATCACCGCTGACACCACAGGGAGGGGCCGGTGGGGATGGCGGGAAGGGAGGGGATGTGGAGGGAATGCACCGTTCTCGCAACCTCGACACCTTAACCGCTGATATTGATTAAAAGGGTGAGGGTGGGTGAGGCGGGAGGGGTGCAATTGGAGGGGGAGAATCCAGTGATATGATTACAACTTCACCTCTGCCTTGTTGAACGAAATTGTGTAATTGACTTGGTTCGTTGTTTTGTTTAAAACAGAATTCGTATTAGTCTCCGTAGGCACCACTTCTACGTCGTTTTTCCATTTATGTATWTTTTTTTTTTCAYCTCAAATTTTTAATAGACCTGAGATGTTTAGATTGACTGYCCGTYTCGACGTGCAGTAACAAATCGTGGTGGGAGCGTATGTGTGGTATTGTACATCTCTCTCTCTCTCTCTCTCTCTCTCTCTCTCTCTCTCTCTCTCTCTCTCTCTCTCTCTCTCTCTCTCTTTGCGACATGGACGTGTGTGTGCGGACGTACTATATAAGGGTGGTCGATCGATGCGAGGAATGAAAGGACGAAAGATGTGAATGACGTTCATACAAGTAAAATATTAGAGAAATAATGAAAACATGCCTTGCATGCCTCAGCTCTCACAAAGCGTTTGGCCATGCACTCACAATACTTGCCTCGTCCGCCCGCGTGAATGTCCTCTTCCTCATCGTCTGTGGTGTGCAGTACAAATGACAACAACGGATACAAGATTGTGCAAAAGAGGATGGACAATGCATCTCGCAACTTCGTCTTTATCGGAGAGGGAGATGGCAGCACTAGCGCATATCATTCGCGAATACGGGAATAGGTATCCCGTTGCCAACACACAAGATGCGCACAATAACGAAGTGTTGCAACTCACTCGCAACGATTTCCTTTTACTCGTCGTCGAACAACAGTGGTTAAACGACAACATGATCAACTTTTATCTCAACCTCGTAGCATTAGACAACTGTTGTAGAATACAGCACGTAGAATGCGACGCAGATAATGAGATAGTCATTAGAGAAGGAAACGGTCGCATTCCCAAAGTATCAGTGCTGAGCTCGTTTTTTTTTGTCAAACTTTTCGATAATGACATGAGATATAGAGGCCGAGAAGTAGAACGCTGGTACCAGAATGTAATTATAAGTGACATGGATTTTATTATTGCTCCTTTCCATATCGCACACCAGGACCACTGGACCTTGGTCGTGGCTGATTTGAAGAAGAGGAAATTCGAATTCTACGACCCTCTCGACCCCGACAAGGAGTTCGCGTTAAAAGTGACCGGCGGGTTTGCAAAGTTTTTATTCGAAAGATCAAAATCGCAAGGCAAAGAGGTGGACACGAGACCATTCAATCACATATGGAATGTAGAGGGCATTCCAAAGCAACATGACACGAACGAATGTGGGGTCTTTGTACTCACGTACGCGTCACTTTTGGCACGGGGCCAACTTCCGCCTTTCTGTTTCACCGCAGATGACATACCCGCGATACATCGTCGGATGGCATTGGACACAGTGACTCGTGAGTAGTGTGTACGTGATATTATATAGTATAATTGCGAAGGGGTCGTACGTGGTTGGCATGAGATGGCGCTTGACAAAAAACAATGTATATAAGGTGCTAATTATTCCTCGATGCACTGTGTCACTTGCCCCTTGCATGGTACCTTACACCTTACACCTTACCCCATACACCTTACACCTTACCCCTTACACCTTACCCCTTACACCTTACCCCTTACACCTTACCCCTTATACCTTACCCCTTACCCCTCACACCAAAACACCCATTTGTAATGGTTTTTGCACTTCAATCATCTAAAAAATGACAATTTCAATTTCGTTCAAAAAATATAAAATGTCCGTTTTGACGAAATCGCCGTTACCAATCTTTATTAAGAGAACATATAGGAATATAATTGTTTCCACTCATTCAACTAGACACACTTTTTTCAAGTCATTCAACTAGTCATTTCTGTAATGCAATGTATGAGGTTCTTTGACCTCTCCTACAACATCCCCATTAGGTAATATTCTTTCTGCCCATTTACGGATCTGTTTGGGTGAAGCTAGTCCAATTTGAAGAAACTGAGATTCATTCATACCCAAACCAAGCCCTTGCAACCATACTCGGCGTCGAGGGAGGAAAGGGGTCTGGAAAATCCGATAGTGGTCGTAAAGGAATTGTTGGGTCGACCATAGTGTAGTCATTAAAAGCAAGACTATAATCCCGACTTTGTTCCTCCTCTTCACCTGTCCTTGCCCGGGTTGCCCCTTCCCATTTAACCTTCCTCATCTTTCTCCCATGGGTTCCTCCTAGCCAGCATTGGTTGAATCGTTGAATGTGTTGAAGGATTTATTTTCGCAAGGATATAAATTGTATTTTTTCCTTACACTGCTCTCATTTTATAATGATGTCAGTTTGTATTTGTTGTTTAACTGTGTCATCGAATTCCGGTACATTTAACCGAACTCCCTTCATTTCATACGTACATTTTTTTAACTATATGGCCCATAATACCGCTCTCCTACCCATGCTGTACAATTTTTGTGAGAATTCATCAATAGAATCAGGGGACCATGTTTCAAGAAGAAGGGTTTCCCATTCCCATGACGACTGGATTTCTGCTTCCATATTACATCAAATATTGTCCCACCACCTCCAGAGCCAAATAGCCCCAGGACATTGCAGGAATACCTGATCGATTGTCTCAAGAATTAACTTAGATGAAAACACAAACCTACAAAATTTACACGAGAAAATTGTTTTTCCCCTTTGTTCCAATGTCGACCTGTCTATAAGCCAATCATTTGTAGGTAGGCACATATGCTCTATTTGCCATTGTAGTAAAGCCACTTTTGCAGCTTTAATTTTGGTCTTACTAAACCATTTTACCTTTCTTAATGATTCTTTATTAACATTAAGATGCTTCATTCATCTTTCCTCTTCCTTGTCTTGTACAATAATCTTAGGGCGAAGCATCCTATAAGTGGATTTCATGGATAACGTGTGAAGAGCACAATAATACATTTTTCATTTCCTTCTTGTATTAGACCACTTCCAATTAGCAGGATCAAGGGTCGGATGACTCATGGGTGTATTAGATTTAAAGGCTATCCATTTATCTTTGTGTCTCAATACTCTAATCCTGAATACCTGATCTTTTGTCACCCTCCTTATACTATTTTGGTCCTTAATTATAATCATGTGAGTATTATCCATTTCATAGGTAGTGAGGGGGGTCTCCCCATTCTTCAAAACTACAACAATACTACATAAGATATTTGAATGATCTTTCATAGCAACCCAATCACTTCTAATAACTGAGGTCTCTTTTTTAGAATCTTTACTTAATCCAAAGACATCCAAGTCAATCAAATTTCTAAAACTTTCTCACAATAATGACAATAACTAAGGTGGGTTTGTAACTGTGAATGAGTAATCTATTCTTTTTTTTCACTGTTCTAGATGTCCTTTATCCTAACAATATCAATTTTAACCCACCCTTTCATGGGGGAATTTGCACAATGAATGACACATCCTTTAGAATCTTTGAGAATGCAATTATCAAAGAGTAGTTGTTGACATACCTTTTCCCATCTCTCAGGAGGGTTTCGGTCTATTAATGGCAATCTCCTCCATGTTTTGATGAGGTTGGGCCAAAACGAATCATTACGTAAATTCATTATTGTCGTCCTCCTATCTGATACACATTGATCCAACGGTTCGTTCACTACTCCTCTTTGAGGGCGCCAAGACCTATTTTATAGCCACATCATAAAGCCTATGTTGTCATATGTCATCGGGGCAAAACGTCTGATCTGCTCTCATGCCAACACACTCCAAGGGGTCTGGGGATTAAAGAGTAGGTGTTTAATCCATTGAATTGATAAGGCCATAGTTTGTGAAAAATGATCAATGATGTTCAACCCTCCTCTAACCTTAGGTTGTATCACTGATTGTCACGCTACCCTGCTAATTACCTTATCGAGCTCGTGATTTCCTCTCCATAAAAAGGTTGATAGTTGACGTTGCAAGGTCTTTACCACTTTCTTATCTAGCGTCGATAATGCTGATTTATAGCGGATCCAGGCTAAAACCACGTTTTAATCACCAGAATACAACTAAAGAGAGAAGTTTGCTTACACTTTCAAAGTTTCAGCTTAGCATATGCCTGTTTGGCTATACATTCATTGTTAGTTGATGGTTTTCATGCCCGTGAAATGGAGATACCCAATACCCTAATGGGAGTATCCAAGGAAAGTCATTTCACTTGGGGAAGTTTCGGGGGGGCTTACTCCTTGATGATGAATCTACCATCCCATCGTCTTATTACCCCAGTTCACCCTCATATCAGACAGTCTACAAAATTTATCCATCAGACTGCTTATTGCTTCTAAACTCATTTCAGATGCTTCTACCATCAGGGACAGATCATCAACAAAGAGAGAGCAAATAGAAATGGCTTCCTTTGGAATAGATGACACTTGAATTCTTTTAATATCCTTATGTTGTCTGAGGTCAGCTGCTAAGGCCTCCATGATTATAACAAAAAGAAAGGGGGTGTTTTCAAAAAAGAAAAGAACGCCACACACCGTTTACACGATGCTCGTCGGTCCGGGGCCCTGGCCTCAAAAAATCTTTGATGGAAATGAAAATCTGAATTTTGAGCGGGGGGCAAGGGGGGGGGGGAAGGGGGGGGGGGGGGGGGCTGAAACAAAAAGGGCGATTGCTCTCCACCTCCTTCGAAGAGTCTGTTGTAAAAAGTATCTTGACCCAACCGGCTTACAGTCTTCACTCGAATAAAACGCACCGTCATTATAGTCGTATTTTTCCAGCTTTCAGTCTACATAAAGACATAATGACCGGGCGTTCGATTCGGGTGAGGCCCTAGTTCAATTCGAGCAAGTTTTTACCGTCTTCACCCGAATAAAATACGCCCGGTTACTATGGTCATATGTCGACAGAAAGTTAGACAAAATACGACTATAATGACCGGGCGTTCTATTCGGGGTGAAGACGGTTACACAATTGCACACAGCTAGACTGTTGAAATACAGACTCGAGTTGAATCTCCACTGGGGCGAGGTCCCACTAGCAAACAGGATTGGATTGAACGCCTGAATCTGGACGCGTTTGTGGAAAGGTGTTGTGTTACCACGCATTCATTGAACGTGCGTTTCGCGTTCCAAAAATGAACGCGGTGAACGCGCGTTCACTGAACGCGCCTGAACGTGTTTTACG